TAGTAGTAATAACCAATTGGTGAAAATGGGTTTTAGCACTAACGCCATTCACCCCAATACTGCGAATGCGTCTTAACATCCGCTGCGAATGCATTTTGACATTAATACACAAATTTTAATGCACATACGTAAATCAAAACGGGAACAAACCAAAAATATACATATACCTTGTGATTATCGAATGCACCTTCGGCAATCCTCATGCAAACAGCCGCCATTAAATTTTCAAAACACGGAATCACGGGAAGATCAAGCATGCGCTGAAGGCTTTGGTTTGGTTGACTGCAATATATTACCTTAAAATGTCGAAAAATTCAACGTCTGCGCTTATTTCACCAATTCACTTCAACGCTCTCCTTCTGTTCTTGTATAAATATTTCTGGAGAAGCCTTTATCAGATCTAATTCAGAATGTTCATATTTCACAGGAGGCAAATTTCCATTTTGTGTGTCTTTGTCTTCATTCAGTGTGTCTTTGTCTCTAAGTTCAATTTCAGAATTTAACTCGTCTGTTGAGACTGTATTTTCCGTTTCTTTTACACGTCGCTGTCGAGCACGAGTTTGTACGACGTTTATCATATGAATTTGAACTTCTTCATCTGGTTTTGCTTCTTCAAATAATGCAACGACTTTGTCACCTAGAAGGCATCTTCCTTGATCTACTGAATCTCTTAAGAAGACTTCAGCCTCTGTTATTGTACGATCAAGACACATTCAAGCTCTACCTCAGCCAAAGGTAAGCACACTGGATGTTCTTCCAGAGGTGTCCGTATCCAAGCGGTTTCATCCGTATTACATGGAAGTCTGTACATACTTTTGGCAAACTAAATCCAAAGTTGCACCAGTATCTCTAAGTATGGGCATTTCATAGACATTTACTTTACCTAGACTGGTATATGGAGCCATAATATCACTTAAAACTATTTTTGGAAAATTCATTTGCGGGCATAATTTCTAAACTTCTCTGGTTTATTACACTGAGGTCGAAAATGCGAGTAGGATCCGCATTCATAACAACGTGGTTGTCTCTGTTTCTCAAATTCCCTTTCACGAATTTTGCTAGTACATTCTGTTTTAATTTTAGGTTTAGTATTAAAATCTTCCGAGATTTCTTTAGGATTATGTCTATGGTGATAACTTACCTTGCATTCTTTTCCCATTTTGATGACTCTCTTGAAACAAGTTTTAAACCTTGTTTCCTGTGATTTTCCTTCTTAAAGTTCTATGTAATACTCTCATACACCTCTTATTCTTCTGCTATCTCATATGGAGTTTTTAGTTTCATCCATTGGTCTAGAAAATGATTCTTTATTTCCATTGGAACCCTATATTCAATTTGCTCGGTAACTATTAAGTCTTTCAGATTCTCAAATTTCTTAATTTTAAAATCCGCAATCCACTCCGAAAAATAACTGTAAAGTTCACGAACATATTTTCTCCAAGAATTTTCAGGAGTCTTTTAATGTAGATAAAAGCACTACTACAGCTTTTCACTATGAATATTATATCTTTTTATGATTAGATTTTTCACATAGTCGTACTTCGTTGCATCTTTAGGTGGTTCTCTGGCTAACGTATTAGAGATTTCGTTAGTTAAAGCACCCTAAAAATAAACCTTCCAAACGTTTTTAGGGACATAAGCCATTTCACCCTTTCTCTCCAAATTTGCAAAATATAGTCTCATTTTTCTCTCTTATTTTGGAGAATTTACTTTTGAAACTTTTTAATTTCTGGGACCTTATTAGTGAGCAGCACCTCCTCACCTAAATTTTCGGCTGCTTCTATTAAATCTGTTTTCTACCCTAGACAAGAAATGACATTTGTTTGTAAACAAAAAACTCTTGGACGGCGTATCAAAATTAATTTTAAAAGACGAAAATCCAAATATTCAAAAATTCAAATCAACTTTCTCAATCTAGCTTTTTCTTCTTTGTTTAGAAATTCAAATATGACACAAAGTATTTTTTTAAATAGTACTCAGTATAATAAAAAATATATGCTTTCTGTCGAATAAAAATCTGCGAACTTGCCCTTGCTAAATTATATTAATGTAAATAAAAAATTTTAAGCCTCTAGCTTGATTCACACAACGTAATTCTTGATTTGAGACTCTAATACAAGAGCTCAAATTTCAAACGGAATTTTTCCAATATTATGTAATAAACCTGCTACTCTAATACTTTCTCCTCAAATTCACACAATAAAATACTTTTATGATTTAGGACTCTAATACAAGATCTCAAATTTCAGAATAGAAATATTATAATAATAACGCAATAAATTTGCCACTCTTATACAAGAGCTCAAATTTTATAATAGAAATATTCTAATCAGGCTAAGTAATTTGACGCTTTAATCCAAAAGCTCAGACTTAGAATATCATATTATTAGTAGAATTTAATAATAAGATGAAACATTTTCAACTAAAATGTCACTGTATTCATAAAAAACTGATACTCGCACGTCCTCTGTTCCTTGTGTTTTTAAATAAACACTGGTCTCACTTTCCAATTCCAATATATAGTGTGCCACCAGATATAGTGTTACGAAATGTACAGGCCAATTTGGCGACCCTGCCTTCCCTTGCCATTTTTATGACAACCCTAAAACTGCTTTGCGGGGAAGCTATCTCACCGCGCCTGTACATTTCATAACAATTTTTTTTTTTTTTTTTTTTTTTTTTTTTTTTTTTGTATCAGTAATGAAGTTTTAAGGAAATCTCGCACTTTGATCGAACGACCAACTTTATTAGTCAATCTTAATAACTGAAAAACATTTTAAGCGCATGCTTCTTCACACGCGGATATTTTTACGCGTGAGGTTTCTTTACATTTTCACTGGTATTACGTTGGTGGCCTAGCGACGCAAACACGTAACAACCCCAAATTTTTTAATGCATTTATTGGAATGCTCTGAATAACTTTAAGAATTGATTTTTCAAGTAATGAATTATTAGTTTCCGAGAAGAAATATAAGCACATTTCTATGTAAAATATAGTTTCAAAATATGGTTCCTGTAATTTTCCTTAGCAATATTTTTCAAATTCCATTCTTGTTTCTACTAAGTACATAATTTTAAACAAGAGGTAAAAAATTAAACAACTTAGTCCATATCTATATACGTTTCAAGGCTTAAAATAAAAGCATTTGTAGAAAAAAATGCAAATTGAGAAAACGCAGTTTAAAGAATGTAAACTTTTAAAAGTGGTCATTAAATCATTTCAAATTTCTTAAATATTTTGATTACTGAATTTATTACTGATACAATAATGCTTTTTATTACTGATGTACATGTATATCTAAAGTAAAACATATTGGTATTCAATTGGTTAATATAAACATAAATTACAAGCATTTATCTGAAACCTTGTCTGATCGGAAATATTGCAAGAAAAAGCATAAAATGCAAGTAGAACTTTTTACCTGTTTTTGTTTCGTAAAACGCGTTCAGAATACTGGTTTTGGTTTATGTGATTATGGCAAAGCCTCGAGTGCTATCTGCCTAAGGGTAAGGATGCCGTCGTGGAGGACTTTATAAGAAGAACTGGCTCGTAAACACGTTACACATAGGGAAAACCACGAAAACTCTCATGCAGCCAGCCCGTTCGCTTTGCCGCTCGTGGACCTCAAAGAGCATCGTTCAGAATAATTTGTCCATATAGATTAATTATAATACATCTTCTAAAATATTTATAATGGATATTAATAATATTAATTTGTCGTTTTTTCATTATTTCAAAAAGTAAAATTTGAACAGGCATAAGACATTTTATTCAAAACTGCTCAGCAGCATATGTGACTTCTTCTCTCCTTTTATCCATTTGTTATCTTATATAAATTGCATTTTAATTAATTTAGGAGTATTTTAGTTAATTAAAGAGTTTGATGGTTGTTCCAGCTCAATTTTCAATAATGCTCTACTCAGGAACTTATTCGCCACCTCTTCCTGTTCATGTCTTATCACAAATAATTTAAACCTTTGAAGAAGCTGAACAAGTGATAATACAAACGGAAATATTTTTTACGTAAATTTAGAAAAAAAAAAAAAAATCTGCCAGTTTAAAAGCGAAAAAATAAATTTGCATCCTGGCGAGAAAATGCAAGAGGAAAATGAGGAGTTCAGAAAAGATAACAAAAAATTAGAATAATTACTTATTCAAACTAAAGTAAACCCTACAAGGGCATTAAGGTGTGCTTTTCGCAAAACATTTAAAAACCGATAATTTCTTCGACTTTGGGGTACCAAGTACAACTTAAATACGACCAAGTATGACTTTGTATTTACAGCATATCTATACTGAATCGAGTTGGGTTTATCATTTCACTCGTGGAAGGGATGAGTAATAAATAAAACAAGCAGAAACCATCATACACACCATAGAGTTTAAAAAAAAAAAAAAAAAGATATAAAGATGCCTTTGAAGTCCTCCCTATAGCGTATTGTATGCTCAATCACTGCAGCAAAAGAGCAAAATTGTCGTAGAATACCGTTACAATTCGCTGCAGGAAGCTTTACTTCTAGTGACAAAGGCGAACACTTCCAAATAACGTGACTTATTTTCTTTAGTGAATTCGTGAGGCACACACTTGTCGGGCTTTCTTACACATTTCCGATTATTACCAAATTCGTCGGAGTAAAATGATGCAATATCAGGGTCTGTGGCGTCTTAACAGCTTTTTGCATCCCTAGGCAAACCAATGTGCTAGGGCCCCTACGAAAACCCTCACAGAAATGAAATATAGATTAAATGTGCATGGCTTAACATAGGGTTCCTAGACCCGTGGGGACTCTGGGCCATGCTTTAGACGCCCAGCGAGGCCATACGTTAAGACAGCCCTGACCAGGGTGCTTGTGCATAACGCACTATGCACTAAGTGTAAATACTTAAAATAAAATTATCGTTCTCTTGTTGAATATGTTTTTCAAGGCACATTTTAACCGTAAATAATTAATTTCAAAAGTTATATGATGTAGTAATGAAAAAGTTAAACTTATCATACCTTGTAACCATCATTTACTAGACCGGCGTTTCTTTTGACCAATATGCATTTCATCCTAACACAGAAACTTCTTTCAACTTCTAAATCTGAAATTAGAATAACTCATGAAGACAAAATTTCTATACATGGTCAAAAAAAGAAATTCCTTAAATGGTATATTAAAACAATCGTGCTGAAAATATTGAAGTCTTGATTTAGGATTTTTTTTTTTTTGGTGGGGGGGGGGAAGTCTGTTAAGTAAGATAATTTCCCAAAAATTTGAATCTTAGCTAAATAAGGGTTTGCTTAACATAAATGTTTAATAGATGATTTCTTCAAGGTATTATAATTTGTAGATTGCTGCCCAATCTTTATACATCCTGGATATAGCTGCATCAATAGTAGATGATAATATGAGCTTGCAGTGCACTTCTGTAGTGTCGGTAAAATTAACTGTCAGGAAGAATATAAGAAAATAAAAAGCTCTGCTAAAATTTTGCTCCTGGAGGCAAGAGGGTACAGGCATAATGACCTGTATCTAAAGGATATCACTCTAGAAGAATTAGATATTGCTATCAACACTATTAAAGGAAATAAATCACCAGGAAATTATCTTATTTTTGTAGAAATGGATAAACACCTTGGTAAAAAAGCAAGACAATTCTTGTTGATCATCTTTATAGTATCATGGAAATCTGGTAAGCTAAGCCAAGGAAAATTTCTATCACTTTACCTTTATTCAAACCAAATATATCAGATACGGAATGCAAGAACTAAAGACTTTCATCAGCATCCTTTGCAAGATGATGGAATGAACTGTCGACTCCAGAAGATATCCTCATAAAAAACAAGATAAATTTTTATCACAGAGCCTAAAGAACATTCCACTGAAGACAAATTATTCTATCTCAGTCGATCTTTATCGATGGTATAAGAACGACTACCAAAAAAGATCATTTCTATTTTTCTTGCTATGTCTTCTGCATTGATGAGTGTGGAGACAGAAATTCATAAAACTTATACATCATTATGGCATTAGAGTAAATTCTCTTACTTGGATAAATGATTTCTTAAGAGACAGAAATTTAAAGTACTCGACAACAGATATTCATCCAAGAAACAAGAAAATCCTTGCAGATGTTACTCAGGATTCTGTTTTGAGCCCCCTTCTATTTCTGTTATATGTGAATGACATTCATCCTGATCTTGACAATGATATTAAAGTAGCCTGCCACATAGATAACATCACGATCTGGCACTCCAGAAGAGATATTCATGAATCTGAAACAGTGTCCTAAATGAAACTTAAGAAATCCCGAAATGGGATCGTAAAGCGAACACAGAGCTTAAAACTCAAGATCGCTGCTGGAAAAACTACTGTCTGTGTCTTTTTAACAGACAGAAAGCCTAGAGATATGATGAATCCAAAACCGTACACTGAAGGCAAATGCCTAATGAAGACATCATGCCCAAAATACTTGGGAATTACCATACATGCAGAAATGTGAGATTCAGTGCGCATGTCAAAATCTGTGCTGACAGAGCTTTGGAAGGATTAAGAATTATTAAATTTCTTAGCGAAACAAAGTGGGGAGCTATTCCTGGGACACTTAAAACAATATACACTTCATTAATTAGACCGATTATAAAGTATACTTCTCCCATTTGGGCTAATGCTTCCAGGACTGTCATGGGGATAATAGAAAATGTCCAGGCAAAGGCCGAAAAAATCATTACCAGTACAGTGTCTTTAACCAATAATGTAAAAGTAATTGAGGAATGTAACCTCGAAAGCCAAAAAAAAAAAGAAGACAGTTTAATGCAAGAAAATTTACAAACAAGGCAAGAAGCCGTGAACCAGAACATATCGCTAGAAAAAGCTTTGAAAACTATAACGGCGGCACTAGACTGAGAAAGGTCATCTACTACGCAATCTGAGAAAGACATTAGAACAGTTTTTTACCCCAATCACAACAAATTTTCCATCTTCTAAGAACCAACATTTCCTCCAGGTTTCCCATGAAGTCTGAAACAGTGCTAAAGCCGTTCAATAAAAAGGAATTGATTGACATCATTAAAGTGAAAACAATCAGTTGAACAATTTCCATATTATCTTTATTCACGCTTATACAGATGGTTCATCTGATGAGACAATCACTAATGGAGGTTTTGCAGTATTTCTGACTACCCCAAGTGACACTACTTATCAACACAAAATTGGTGCTGGAGCCATAGTCTTGGTGTGTGTGTGTATTTAATTATGGCAAAGCACACGAGGGCTATCTGCCTAAAGGGAGGGATTGCCTTTCGTGGAGGACTTTCTAAGGAAAACTGGCTCGTATACACGTTACACATGGGGAAAACCACGAAAACGCCCATGCAGCCAGCCCGTTCGCGGGATTCGAACCTCAGACCGAACTACCAGTGTTCAGCGTCTTTACCGCTCGGCCGCTGGTGGGCCGGAGCCATAGTCTTAAGTTCAATTGCGAGCTTCTAGCAATAGCGGAGGCACTTACTTGTATAAATCCCTTTCCATTTCTGAGCAAACAGAAGGACTCGTTGCCTTCTGTAATTCAAAGGCAGTCTTGGATGAAAGATTCCTGATTACCAGCGCATCCCAACTTTCTCCAAAACCAGGTTTGAATGTTAGATAAGGTCTGCAATTTTCAATGGTTACCGGCTCATGTCAACATCACAGGTATCGAGATCGCAGATAAACTGGCAAAAGAGGCTTATCTCAACAATGATAACGTAAATGTAAGTATAATATTTTCTTTTATAGACACAAATGTAATGGCCAAATACAGATTGCAGGAACATTCAAATCCAATAAAGCACGTCGGCGGATTTTCTATTGTTACTAAAGATTTAACTTTGTAAACATTAGAAAATGTACGTAGTTTTTTCGGGTATGCATTTGGTAACTTCTTTCCATATAGAAATAACGACTGACGGTTTTTCTCCATTCCAGTTAATAACGCTGCTTATTTTAGACTTAGAAATTTTAATACCATGTATTTGACAACATTTTTGGATTTTAGAAGAGGAATATTTCTTTTCGGAAAGCACAACATATCCTTTAATCCACATCTCTTTTACACTTTATGCGACGTGTTAAAAGAAAAGTAAATTTAAAAATTGCAGAAATACTCCTCATTTCAAATAACAAGTCTTTATCAGAAATGTTTATTCCAAATTATTCGCATTTTAAAATTTCTTTTGAAATCGATCTAAAAGTGTGTAAGCTCCCTCTGTACTACTGCAAACTTTTATAATGTTAGCTAAAGGTCTAAAATTGGAAACACTAAATATATAGTGTAATTTAATGTAATTTTTTTTAATTTATTACCTTCTGATAAAGACTTCCGTACAGGCATTTCGTCCTGAAATTTCAAGACTTGAGTCATTTCTTCGTGATCTCCATCGTGTATAAAGTCATAAATTTTGTTGCCCATCAAATCAAGCTAAAAGAAGAAGAAAAGAATATATGAAATTAATGACTAAAAACATAGAAAGTTTTCTAAGGTTTCATTTGAAAAATCATAAGGAATAAACTGCAAAATGAGAAGTCTAATTTATCAGCTTGATGCAAGCGTAAATTAAGAAAATAACTTCATATCTTTATATTGATTAAATATTTTCTGCATTTTAATGTAATTTATGTAACGATGGATTTTTCTTAATTTTGATGATTTTAAGTGCGTTCAGATTTACCATTCATTAAATTCATAAATTTCTACGAAATTCTTTGTGAATTTTTCTTGAACTGGCGTTATTTTCAGAATTCCAAAATAAATGAAAAAACAGCAAATTTCAATCTTTAAAATATTTCTGGTAAACTCGTAATTATTATTTGTATATTTCTCACCATGTACATCCTACTTTCGGTGAAACATCCTACTTTCGGTGAAAAGTCCGATGCAGCTTTGAGATAAAATGTTCAATATTTATAAATAAGCTAACTATATTTCTCGAACCATCTAAATACTTAATACTCGTTTGACGATACAGTTTTGCTTAAGCGCATCACGTTTGGAAGATATAAAATGTGAGAAATTCATAGTTTGCTTTATAAGTTCCGTTTAAAAAGTTCTATGTGACCTGATTACCAATAAAAGCACTTTTATATTAAAAATTGAAAACATTTCAACTCTATGTATGAATAATAACGCTCCGCACAATAAATGCCTGTACTGATATAATGTCGTAAAATACATATCAGTCAACTATTATCCTTTTAAACAAAGTTGCCAATGTCAGATGTAATATTTCTTTAAACATTACAGAGACTGAAATAACTGTAGCCTTGGCAGTTAATTGGCTAAAATACTAACAACCTGAGCTTTCTTGTCTTTGCCTTTTGTCTTTTTGTACTATTTTTTTATTTTATTTTATTTGATAGACTGCCTGCTATTCCCAGATATATGCTATTGTAATAATGTCTTGCATACTGGCTTTCTTTTTGATTGCACGGATCCTCAACATCTTCTGCCCTATTATGCAAGTAATAGCATTTTATCTGTCTCTGCTGGCTCTTACATTCCTTTGAAGAAGTCTCTAGGAGCTCAGTACATGAATATACTGAATTATTGCTATAGTCCATTGAAATAACCTGATGCTATCAATGAGAACTATTTTTTTGAAACTCGGCACAGGTTCGAAAATCGCCAATGCCTGGATGCCAGTTCAGCGCAGGAACCCGTTAACGGCGAATTGCGTTCGCCTGAGCCGAGGATATAGCTCCTGAACTTCGGTGCCGCAGCTCGATCATTAAACCGATTAAATCAAAACAGGTATTTCTCTGACACGAGCGGTTTTAGCAATATCTTTCTTGAACGACCCGTGGAGCGCTCTAGAATCACAATCTTTCAAACATCATGTTGAAAATATCATCACATAACTAGAATTTCACTTTTAATTTATGCAAATAAGACTATTAATTGGCTTTGCACCAACACTGAAGCCTACCAGTGTTTCTAAAACACGAATTTATTGTAAGACTTCCTTCTGGTAGAATTTCATTAATGGAAGCGTTTCATTGCAGCAATAGTCGCCACTTTATCTATTAACATCAGAAATCTTTTTCTAAATTAATATCTTAATTTTAATTAGATACAAATTTAAATATTTCTCTATTCAGTTTGTGGACAACCGCTTAACATCATGTCACAAATACAAAATACAGTGACCTTGAATGGTTGATTTGCAGAACCCTTAGAACATCGAGCATTTCTCTATGCCAAAAACTTAGTAAGCATGAAAAACAAGTATACGTCACTAAAATATTCATCATTATTAAATTACGCCACCAAATTTTGAATACACATAGTCTTCGACTCGAACATGACACCTCGAAGTACAAATTTTGGATTTCGAAATTTATTTTTTATGTATTTTATGTTTTCTGCAAACTTTAATTAACAATCAGAGTGATAATTTTGATTAATAAACTCAGTCAAGAGAGAAGCACATTATTATTTATACTCAGTGATAACGAAATTACTAAAACAACTTTAGGAAAACGTAAGATATCGACATTTGAAACTCAATCAGAAAACTCAACAACATAAAAGGAATGCGTGGGCACTGGCCGAAACGATATATTTTTATCTTACACTGCTAGTGTTTTGCAGTTCGACAAGGCATAAGATATTTAATTTTTCTTTCAAATGTGGTTCATCTTTACTGATTAACATATGAAACAATAAATACAGTTCATCTCTATTACTATTAATTACTCACTGAACCCGTGAAACTACATCAGCTGAACTCATTAAAGTAATTATATATTTTTTATAGCTATAATACGCGAATGGCTGTACAAGCGGTTAGTATTATAAACTTATAAGACATTTTAGTTTATTAAACAAATTTATGATACGTATCTGTACTATTACTTCTCCGTTCCGTCAGCCCTCACAAGAATGCAAATGAGACTGATTGTGTATCTAAGCAAGTGATTTGAATATTTTAGAGCTTTTAGCAGCGATGCTTGCAGCTTTACTTTCAACTCAGCTTTACTTTTAGTTCAGCTTTACTTTTTTTCAACTTTACTTTTCAACTTTTGCTTTTGGCAGTAAATATTCCGGCATTAGCCATTTGCTAGCCGACATTAAATCGAGCCATTAAAGTTGACCCAGCTGTGTTAAGCCAAATTTTTGTAATCTTCGGTTACTGTTTCAATAAGGTTAAAATAATATATAGTGTACAGACTTTTTATGTTATTTTAAATAGCCTCATGTGGCGGAGTTTTCAATGAACGCGCAAGTTGAACTTTCTCTTCAGTTCAGAATTTAATAAATGTCATTTAAAACCTTCATAAGACTTCATAAGTTCTACAAAATCTTATGAAGACGGAACGATAATTCGTTTATCAGTCTAATAGGATCTGAAGGAGTTACAATCGCGCAATTCGGATCTTATAAACTATATTGTTATGAAGAGTGAAACAATAAAATAAAACTAATATATACCTGTTGAAATTTAGCCAAGAAAGTAGCCATCAAACATGAATGATTGAATGAAGTCTTTATAATGAAATCTTGATTGTACTAACCTGTGATAATCCTAGATGCGTTGAGGCGGTTTCCGAAACATAAATTATATGTCCATCAGATGATAATACTAATATAAATCCGCTTATAGATTTCAAAATGTGAAAACCCGGTTCTTTCAAATTTCCTTCTCCAGGAGAAGAGTTATCACTTCCCCATTCTCCACCTAATCCTAGAAAAAGAAAAGAATCTTTTTTTTTTTTTTATAATTGTACATTTTTTTTTGTTTGTTTTGTTTTTGTTTATACATACATTTTATCGGGTGTAAGTAATAAGTGAATACGAACCTATTGCCTTCTCCTATGTGTGCTGTTCTGGAGTTATGGGTTTACTACATCTCGCAATGCGCGGCGTTAGAAGAAACGTTTCCGAGAAATGAGTTTCTCAAACAGAAAAGTCTCTAGCGGAAACAAGAGCCCACCAGCGGTAAAGTCGCTGAACACTGGTAGTTCGGTCCGAGGTTCGAATCCCGCGAACGGGCTGGCTGCATGGGTGTTTTCGTGGTTTTCCCCATGTGTAACGTGTATACGAGCCAGTTTCCCTTAGAAAGCCCTCCACGAAGGCATCCCTCCCCTTAGGCAAATAGCCCTAGTGTGCTTTGCTATAATTAAATACACACACACACACTAGCGGAAACAATCTCGTCAGAACCAATGTTCCACCTATGTACGCGGGACATTTTGTAACTTGAGCGAAAATAGTTCGCTTGTAGCTCTGTTCCACGTAAAGTTTTTCCCAAAGAACTTTTCTTCACGTAAGGCAAAAATTCAGATGTCCCGAAAGCGAAGATTCCCGAAAATGCTTCTTTCGACGCGTAGCCCTTACAGACTCCATCTCCTACGCATTGTTGTTTGAAAATATACACTTAAAGGTCGTTACTATTTTCCCTTATTTACTATCGTAACGTTTGTACAGCACATACTTTCTCCACCCCATCAGAGACTATAGTTCAACTCAGCCCTCATTCATAGGCTTTCAGAAAGCTGAATAAAATAAACGAAAATATAGTGGGAAATAGGGGATTTGACTATCTGTTACAGCTGGTTACGAAAGGATGTGTTTTGGGGATGCATTTGCTTTCTTTGCGCGCATTGCACCCTTCTACCATCCCTGAACCATTTATACGTCTAGCACTCTTTTCTGCACCTCTCAGCTCTCGTCTTGCAAGAAACACACTAAAATGTTTGTCTGCTTTTGGAAAAGTTTGAAGCACAATATTTTACTTGCTCCTCTAACAAACATATACCTGGTGAGCCTGGAATCCAAGAAATTTTGTGGGAAAGTTAATTCCAAATTTACTAATTTCTTTCCGCATACATCTTTTCGCCTGGTTCTAGTTTTAAAATTGATATTATTATTCTCAATGAGAAAGAACTTGAACAATTAATAAGTGAGAATAGTTCCACAATTACTCACAATTCAATATCCTATCAATCTCTGTGCTATGTCTCTAGATATATTGCGCATAAATTAAAATATGCTTGCCCTTTTTAAGATGGAAAAGAAAATCAGAACCATTAAATTAGTCTGCCACTAACAAAGCGCTACCAGACTGAATGAAAGTTAAGTAATAAGCATCTCAAAACTAGATGAAAATCATTTGCAAACTGGAATATATTTTCATCAAATTTCATAAGATTGAATTTAGCCAAATAAAAGGAATAACTTGGTTTTTAGAGAAACAAACTGAAGTTCTCTGAACAATCCGAGCCAGATATATACTTGTTTGTTATAACAAGTACCATAACAAGAATGAGAAATATTAATATTTCAAAGTACGATGTTCATCTTCAAAAGAAGCGAAAATTGATGAAAATAGTAGCATAAGAATACTCCAATCCCGGTACGATGATTTGAAATTTCTCCCTTTAAATTATTCTTAGAAATTTTATTATTTCATTCAAGCTCAGGGCTGAAATAACTTGTATGAAGCACTGACATACAAAGTTTTTAAGATATAAATACGGTATTTATCTTTGAAGTGATTTCCTAATTGCAACTACGCGTAAATAAACGAGTAGCAACTAGTTGTAGAGCAGTGGCAGCTCGTCTTGAGGGAAGATTTCTGGTCGGGAAGAGGCCGCACGTTTTTTAACTGCTACTTTGAGACGAATCGAAAGAGCAAACCTTGTAATATGGTACTCTTGGGCTGTAGGGAAGTGTTAACACAATGGTCTAATCCTCATTGTTGTGGTAGTACTAAGATGTAAGAATCATTAACTCTATTCACACCTGTAGAACAGAATTTAAGCCGTGGCCAAATAAGGAAAGTAAAGACTCAGCGAAATCATTGAATAAATACAGGGCTTAAAAGAGAAGGGCTAGCTCATAGAGCTTTTCCCCCTGAAACAGGCAGTGGGGAGTGATGACTTAGCCATGATGACACTGAGCGCGGAGATGCAATTGACAACATAGAAATTGGCGTTTTAAATCTGAAGAACCAGGGTTTAAAATGAGCTGTGTGTGAAAGGAAGCTATAATTAGAAGAGACAATGTTACTGCAGTATGCATTTTACACTGAACATTAAAAATTTAATAGTACTTACTCAATTTTAAAATAACAGATAAAATGCGCTACTCTTAGCATAAAGTTCCCTTTTTTTTTTTTAATTTGCAGGGATTTTTTTTTTCTTTAAATGCCTGTTTATTTCTAATCATTTCTTTATCTGCATGCTAACTAAGAGAACTGTACTACTGCTTCTAAGATAACTATAATAACAGCTATTTAAAATTAATTAAAAAACAATCTTAAATTGCATAGTTTTGAAAATTTCTGCTAATCTAAGTTTGAGTTTCAGCCTAATTGTAAATTTTACATTGGCATATTTTTCTCCCGATTCAATATAATAACATATATTTTTTTAATAATTTTGTAACTTAGTCTTACATCAGTATTACATTTAAATAAATGCATGTAAGATTGTTATTTTAATTTAGACAAAACAACTTTACTCACAGTACCTAAAAAAATTATTTAATTTTTCAAAAGCGGGGGTTAAGGAGGCAGGTCTTCTTATGTCAATTACTTTAATTTTACATTATTATATTTTATCTAGAATGCTAAGCTAGCACAACATCGAATCAATAATAACACAGGATACAATAAAAATAACTTTAACAATAACTTAACAAAATTAGTTCTCATTTGAAATATGCTTTACGCTATTAACTTCTAAAATGCCATCTAGAAATATTTTAAATCAAAACATATTATATATATATATGCTTACTTGTACAGTCACAAAGCAACTACAACTTGTTGAAATATTATTTATTGGCTGCCACATTCGAAGCAATCCACTTTTTTTGCCTTTTGGATTGCTTTTCTTTGGGAAAAAACATAGCATGCATTTCTATTTAAGAAACGTATTCTACAGAGCTCTTATGACAATGCAACATGAAATATCTTCACTAGTCCACCTGATATTTTCCTTCTTTTATAGCAATGCGTTAATCAGCGTTGTAAAAATATGCTTTAGATGTTTTTCCAAATTCTCCGATCTGTGCTGTTTTTTCCTAAATTTCGCTGTTTGGAATTTTAATTTCTGAATTTCCGATACAAATTTCTTTCTAGATATCCTCCACCTTCTTTGTCGCTGAGCAAACATTCTAAAATTTTTCTTTTCTCTATTTTTCAATATTTTATTACAATTTTCTAAGGATATTATTTTGTTCTTCAAATTATCAATACATTCTTGTTTACCTTTACACTTAGGGCATTCAGGGATATTGTCATTTGTGAGTTTTATTTCAAAATTATTCACATTTGATTTATTATTTGTCAGCTTCAATTTCGTTCTCGGCTTCAAAATAAATTTTATTTGGGCATAATTCGTGTAGTCTTTCAAAAGCACTCTCCATTAGTTTTCTTTTCAAATGTCTCCGATTTCTTGGTGTTATTTCGTTTACAATCGGTACACGATAAATTTACTTTAGGCGCAGTATTGTATTTCAACAGTTTCTTTTGCGGCAATCTGAGCAAGTGATTTCTCATGTCATCTTCATAATCACTGCACAGAAAATGTTCACCGCAAATTCTTGCGTTTTTCACATTAATAGAATCTTGTCTTCGACATTTATGTATCCATTCTTTCGACAAAAGCAAATTGTCCTCTGGAAAAGCATGAAATACAATCTCTCTTCCTTTCGCATTTCTATAAGTGTTACGGCACGTTGCTATAGCGCAAGAAGCCATATTACGTAAGGAATACTTTAAATATAGAATTTAAAAGGAAAACTGACTAAAATTATATATATATATATACACAAATTATTTTAAATATTTGCGTTATTAGAAAACAAATATGTATGATTAAAATTTATTTGGGATATGCGACCTCCAGAAAATCGTCCCGCAACTGAATGAAACTACAGTTTTAAACGCGCGAAATCAGAGCAGGTGCAACACAGACACGTCAGATTACTTCCAGTTAATCCCCTTCACGAGGCTCGCGTCGGCGAGAGGTCGACAAAGGAATGACCTAGCCCTTCTATTTATCCCTGGAATGAATATCATTTCGTGTTTGCTTGGCTGTGATTTGTTTGTCTATTGTTATACCAGGCTAACATAAAGTTGAACAGCGAGAACATTTTGACAAAATCATTATGCCAGTTTCTTTAGCTAACAGGGTCTGATTGCTTAGCTACAAATATCCACTTATGCCACTTCGCACTTAGCACTTTTGCGAACGCTCCATACCACATACATTGGGAACCTATGTGTTGCAGGTTAAACAGAAGGGCTAGGTCATTCCTTGGAGTGACCTCTCGCCGATGCGATCCTCATAGGGAGAGTTAGCAGGAAATAGTCTGGAGTCACTATGTTGCATCAGCTCTTATAGAGACATTAGGTTGTTTCGAAGCAGGAGACATCAAAAATCAAAAATGTGCAGTGCCCTCGCCGGGAATCAAACAACGGACCTCTCGAATATGCGCCGATTGTTCTGACCATTTCATTACGAAGGCGTGTTAAGAAGGCGGGAGAAATACCTTATACTCTTAACTTCTCGTTTAAAACTGTAGTTCCATTCTGTTGCGAAGTGATATTCTAGCAATGCGGACATTTCAAATAAATTTTAACAACATATATTTGCTTTCTAGTAAAGCCAAACAAAGTCAGACTGGCAGCCAAAGGGGCATATGTGGCTCACGGAGTAATTTTATACTGAACGCGATATATTTCCCTTTAATTAATTAGCATTATTATAAGAATTTTAAGAATCTGAAAAAAAAAACTATTAAGATTTTAAGCAGTCAAATTTTACATTATTTGCATTGCCAAAAACGAATGTAACTCATCGGAATATATAGAAATATCTCCAGTTACAAATTTTTGCATTAAGAATGCTTGCTTTGTTTTTGAGTACATTTACATGAGAACAGTTTGAAAATTAATAAGTCTACGAAAAGAACCAGACTACGGATGAGTATCTACAATTTGTGATTATACCTTCTAGTAATTTCCCTCCAAGAAATAAAGATGATTACAATAATTTACGTACAAATATTATTTTTTCTGGATGCGTCATACAAAAATTTAATAAATAAAAGAAAGAGAATGGGTTGCTATTATTTATTCTCAAGTTTTGTCCCTCTTGGGAAGCTTTCGAACATTTCTCTTTTAGTTTAAATTAAAAGTAAGTTATTTAGTCGTCACTTCAACATATTACAATTAGTTGAATAAATGCAAACTTAAAAATTCTGATATTTAGCTGTATGTTTGAATTACAAATTGTGACCAACAGAAGTTTCTTGCAGATACCAACTTTTAGATTTCAAACAAAATATAATTATAAATTTGATATTTTTCTTTACGTTATTTTTAATTGTATGTTTTGACAAATAGCAAGTAAATTTTTTAAAATTTAATTAACAAATTTTGCTTTGTTAAAAAAATCTCCTTTTTTTTTTTTTTTTTTTTGTGTGTGTGTGTGTGTGTGTAATTACTTCCCGTCCGCTACTTTCAAATTGTGCGTTGGCCCGTGTGCAATGTAAGTTTGAGGCCACTGTTGTAAAAAATCGTTTATATAATATGTCTTTTGTAGCAAAATGCCATAAAATTCATAGAAATGAGAAAGTTACGGATATAGTATTTCATATTTTTCCAAAGGATAATTTGTTTAATGCGAGAAAAATGGATACATGTGTCGAAGACAGGATTCTATTCATGTTAAGATTGCAAGAATTTGCATCGAACATTTTCTGTGCAGTGATTGTGAATACGAAATGAAAAATTACTTGGATTGCCGTAAAAGAAACTGTTGAATCCAATATTGTGTCCAGAAAAGAAAAATAATGCAAAATGCTTTTGAAAGACCACATGAATTAATTTTGAAAAAAAATCCATTTTTGAAGCCGATTACGAAAATAATGATAGAAATAATAAATCAGATATGAATTATTTTAAAATAGAACTCATAGGTGACGAAGTAAATAATGATGAATCCCTAACTGTATACAGACATAGGTATTTTTTTAAAACAGGAGACATGCAAAATGAGAAATGCCCTCGCCGGAACTCGAACCATGCACCTCTCGAACACGCGCCCGAGTGTGCTGACCACTATACCACGAAGGCATGCTAAGAAGGCGGGAGAAATACCTTATAACTGTAGAAATAAACAAGAATGTATTAATAATTTGTAAAAAAACAATGCTAGCTAACCATTTTAGGTAATTTATACTCGTATAAAACGTAAGTAAAAAAACGTATAAACGTATTAAATATACGTATAAATGTATTAAGTATACATATTTATAAACGTATAAACTTATTAAGGATACATATTTATAAACGTATTAAGTAATTTAGTATAAAAAAAGACAATCCTCCGTTGCTCCTTTCTTGAAAAGTTAAGTAATTATTGTCAAACTTAAGAAAACAATCCTGTATTTAATTAAATGTAATGTATAGGTGCAGATGGGATTATAAGTTAGACAATTATTTTAAAAATATCTGTTATTCTATCAAATTGGAAGATAAGCACGCTAATGTAAACATTATAATTGGGTCAAAAAAGCAGTCATAGATTAGATTAAGTTTTGAATAAAACTATTCATTTCAAAAGCAATCAAACACAAGTTCCTGTTCCTTAGCTGCAGAAAAACAAATTAACATATGTATTCAAAACTACTCCGAAATAAAATTTTTGTTTTTGGCCTCACTTTAAAAAGCTGTTATTATAGTTATCTTAGAAAGAGTAAGAGAATTCTCTCATTTAGTACGCATATGAAGAAAAGATAATTATGCCACAGTTTTTCTCTTCGTGATTTAATAATAAGTGCTCAGGGGGGGGGGAAACCTGGGACTTTAAAACCTAAACGAAACTGTAGCATATTTTATCTATTATTTTTAAATTAATGAATAAGTACTATTATTTTTAATGTTTTAAATGCATGCAGTAATACTATCTTCTTCTGACTTAAAGCTATTTTTTCATGCACAGTTTTTTAAGGCTGTCTTTAACTAATTTAAGGCTGTATTTTTTAAAAAATATTTAAGACATTAATTTCTTTGCTGCAAATTGCGTCTTTTCAGTCAGTGTCAACATAACTACGTCATCACTCCTCCCTTCCTGTTTCAGGGGGAAAAGCTCTATGAATTAGCCCTTCTAAGTTCTATGTATTAGTATGAGAATAGCAGAAGTAGCAAAACAATAAATAATGCGTCTTACCTTCTGGAAAAAGTCTTCGCAACTTCAAGTAGGAGGTTGTCAAACGAATGATGGTTGCCTTGTCCATTTGGGCAGTAATATTCGTTGGGAGCGGAAGAAGTTTCGCAAGCTGTGAGAATTCTGCGTTTTCCTTCTCTCGACGAGACTTCGCAGCGTTCTTGGAGCGTTCATTCATTTAGCAAACGACATTCAGGTCACAGAACTCTTCAGTCTTGAACTAGTATCAATATCCTACTAAGATAATGACAAAATTTACAAAGGTATCCAAAGAATCTGGAAGGATGTATTAAAGCACACTTTCATTAAGAGGAACTGTTCTTGCTTAAGCTAGAGAAATATGTGTTAAGTTATAATTTTAGGTTTCATCTAATTAGTTGCTTTGTATTCTTTTATTTTACTTGATATATTTTCAAGACATTCTTAAAATATTCAGTGCTAGTGTATATGTAATCTACCAATAATCTACATTTCAACTAACGGTGAACAAAACCGCTCTTTCAAGGAACCATTCGTTCATTTACTGAAAGGAATCGTTTCTTTTTACGACGCGAGGTTCACTAACAATAATCTTGATGAGTATGGAAATGCGGAGCTATGTACGAAAACGGAGAGAAGAGAGGAAAGACTCAAAGAGTATGGTTGGCAGAATCGAACAGCCCAATCTTTGCACTGACTTCTTTCTGTTGTAGAATTGAGATTCTATAAAGCCTCCTTTTTGCATAAAACTAATAAACAAATTATGATTTTTTTTTTTTTAAATGTGTTCAGAAAGGTGGGAAATGATAAAACTTAAACTCTCTTTTTATACATCCTAAAATGAGAATCGGACTTTTTTTGGCGTGGTTCGAGCAAGAGTTCTTGTTGGATGCGCTTCGTCTTGTCGAATCACTGTTCGCTCAATAAAGTTCACTGTTTTTTGAATTAGTTCGCGAGCTGATCTTCCACCTTAAATTTCAACAAGAATTACTGCTTCCTTAAGCCCATTGAATAAATCCTATACAAACAGTAAGTTTATATTGATTATATGGGAGTTATATTTCGAAATTAATTTGCTTTTATAATATCTTGAAAATTCAAACAAGGTAAACACGATAGAGGCCAACCATTTACAATAAGTAGCGATATTTAATCTGCTTAATCTGTAAAATGTCAATGATGCCAAATGGTAACGAAGTTCATAACAGAGTATATGTAAATTTAAATGAACGTCAAATTAAGGTGATAAATAGAAACTATTAAAAGAAAGGAAAAATCTGGAAAAAGGGTTCAAATTTTAACGGTCATCCAAAGAGTTTGTTAAGGTTTATCTACGCTCTCGCTAAACTCATGGTTTACCAGTCTGCTGTTGATCTCATTCCTGCTAACTCTTCTGTGTGCGTGTGTTTCTTTTTAGTTTTATTATTAAATATCATTTTCTTCGCCACATAAAACCACATTTCTTAAGCCATATCTTCTTTATATTTCTGAAAAAATTAAACAGCAAAATTATAAAAATTTTTAAAGCAGTATAACAATATCCGTTTAGAAATTCCGATGCATACACATTTATTTATTTATTTATTTATTTATTTATTTATTTATTTTAATTTTTATTTTGCTACTGCTTGCTTTCAAATCGTTGAGTTTGTTAAAAATTCATTAAAGTTTTACAAAGCATGAAATATAAAATTCGAAATTCAAAACTCGGCTTCCAGGCGCACATGTTCCGGTGCAGTACCACATTATTCAAAATTTGATGGCCCTAGGTTCCGTCGTTTTTTCCCAGTGCGAGAAACATACAAGCATTCATGCAGATTCTTCATTACTGAGTTTCTTTAAAAGTATTCCAAGGCGGTAATATTTCGTGACAACAATTTGAAAAGTTATATAGATGTTTAAAGTGATACGTCACCAAATCCCGTTTCGAGACTAAAAGCACATTCGGGCTAACGTCCTTTTGAGCTAAAAATATAATAAAAGAAATAAGAATCACAGTATGAGTAAGTATCTGCAAACATCATATTAAACAGTTCTCGAAACAGTGGAGCATTGCGAACGGCCCTTAAAAGGAGCCCTGGGTTTTTACGGGTCAGCCGAAGTCAACTGACAATTTACCGGAGTAATGCCAGGGACGAATTCCATGGTTAACCTAAAATCGGGCTTAATTCGAGGTCTACAAAACACAGAAAAGAGTATTAGAGTACAATTTAATTTACAGGAAAATGCCATTCAGGAGCGGGTCAAGCGGTTGGCAGATCAGGTGGCTGTCAGGGGCATTGACTTAGGGTCGTTACACAATCCCCAATTAAAAAAAGATGAGGAACCAATTTATTGGAATTAACGCAAGTAAACAATTTATTCATTAATCCATTTTTCTCAGAAGTAAAAATTTGAAACGGAAGTGACATTTTAAATTGTCTCACGTTTTGCCATTTACATACATGTCTTTTTTTTTTTTTTTTTTTTTAATATTATAAATCTTAAAAATTCTCTGCTGACATAATCCCTAAACGGTTTAGTGGCATTTGTACACAATCGGAAAGTAGAAACACTTGCGCTCAAGAAACAGTCATTACCGGATAGGTAATAGTACTTTTTATAGTTTATTGATAGTTCCACACAAAAACATATATTCTTGATTATCTTTCGATAGCTTTGAACAACTGTAGAGATATTAGGTTATTTCGAGGCAAGAGAGATGAAAAATGAGCAGCACCCTCACTGAGACTCGGACCACAGACTTCTCGAATACGCATCAAGCTTGCTGAATACTACGCCACAAAATACCCTCATATGCGGTCAGGTCGTAAATTTAGAACCCCTTTTTTCACAGGGGGGGCTGAAAAGTAGGGGATAATCTTGCTCCTGTCTTGAGAAAATGTGGGGGTCGTTTAAACATCTAACTTCTCTACATTCAGTTTTATCGAGGGAAATAAAATTGAATATTCGATGAATGCAATTTGTACAATGAAAAGCATTATAACGATAAATGTAAGATAAATAACTCTTTTTTAAGCATAGGTGTAGAAAGAAGATATTGTACACGAATGAATGGTAGTAAATATTGAATTTTTATTCGAATGCCCATGTCCAGTAGCTGGTATGCGAGATAAAGTCATAACCGAATGGCTTTCACCTTTTCAAGACTAAGGACCGTTTCCAATACATTGTGGTCGCGTTTGGTTAATTTTTAATGACTATCAAAATAGTGTTTTTTATTTGAAACTTAGAATAAAATACGCAAATGACTGCAGAAATCTTAAGAATGAGTTAAATACTACTGAAAAATACATATTGATGCCTTTTGTTTTTTTATGTAGAGTATGGACTATACTTACCTTAATGGATCCTTAACATTATATATATGTATGGTATAGTAATGGAACAAATATAGAACAAGGATAAAATTTTATAATACAATGTTCATTCAGTATTTACGTAAATCAATATAAATAGTTAGTTAGGTCTCATATATATTTATTTTATCTTTTGTATTTTTGTATTAGATTCAGTTTGTATAGTATCTGAAGTTTATTTTTCTCTTTGGGTTAGGACGTAAGGAGAAAGAATTGTAGGGCCTTATAGGTTACTTTATACAATCAGTTAGGATCCGACTTTTCCTTCTTTTCATATTTTAGATTGAAATATACTGATAAGTATACATAAAATATAGCAGTTTAAGCTACTTATTTATATACTATTATTTGGTCTGGTTTTGATTAGCCAAGCATTAGACGGTTATTTGCCTAAGGGTCAGGTGCCTGTGGAGAACTTTCTAGCAAACTGATCTTTGCCGTTAACGTGGGGAAACCTCGAAAACGCCAATAAGCTATCCGAGATCCGGATTCGAGCCCCGGATCACCTGCCAGAGTCAACGACTTACAGCTCAGCCGCTAGTGAGCCACACACACACATCCACAAATCATTAAATAGTTTACATGTCGTTTATAAAGTATAATGAGTGCAATTTAATATAAAGATTAGAATTATTCTCCGGATGATTCATTCCGGGACTTTTGTAAGCGTATCATAGTTCTTAAGGAGAATTCAATGCGATAGTTCCATTCAAGCTGTTATGTACTTATTTCTCATCTTTGAATAATTAGAAAAATTTCACTTGTATAGCTGAAAATGCAGTTTTTTTATGAAGAAGTAAGGTAAGAAGAGAATTGCCCTTTTAATTATTCTGAAAGCATTAAATTTTTTTTTAAAAAGTGCACATTAATAGGATAACTGAACTAAAGTGCTCGTACAGGACAGATTAATAGTTACTAAATTTGATTTTCGTTGAGAAAAATGAATTCATCTGCTTCATAAGAAATCAAAATTCAGAAATGGTTTTTTTTTTTTTTTTTTTTCTCGCATCATTATTTTTCTTAAATATTAGTAATTCATATTCAATATTAATCCATTCATAAGTAATAATCGATCAGTAATAAATAATAAAATAATAAATGGAAATTTAATTTGTTTAATTGCCATTTTCCTCTGAAAACCCTCTTAGCGTTCATAGCAGTCGATCAGTTTTTGTTGGGGGTTCATTTTTATGGTATGCTTACGTTATATATGTATGTATTATGCATTGGTCGTACTCGTCAATTGCAGCTTTTAATATTTTTTGGAAAAAAAATCAATTGAGAATCCACAAAATGATTTTCAGCGGACGCTGAATTATTATTACAGGCATTCGCCACAGTGTTTAAAAAAAGTTCCATTGTTTAAAGGTAGTCTATGCTCATATTTTAGTCTAAATAAAAAGCTGAGAGTCATTAAGGGGGTTGCTATTAGAAAGCCTCAATTAGAAGTAGTATAGGAAATGTTATCAATACTTATAATCTTACGGATAAACTCTTATTCCCTTTTGCTCACGGTATGGCAACAGATATTTCTTGCATAATAAAGAAATAAATGAATCAAATGAGTATATTCTTTTTTTCACTGCAAAAAATTAAGATACTATCGATTTAATCTTTCCTTATCCAGAATAATCAAACAAGGGGGGCATTATTCTTAACTAAATTTACTAATGCAAATCTATTTGGTTTTTCAATGGCTTCATTAATTGCGTTCTGATATACTGATACTGATGAGACCTAAAAAAACTTTTTTTGAAATAGATCGCCCTTATATCCCGGGACACAGCCGTTTACTTCCCCCTTCGTAATAACGTCATCCCTGCTGGACCGCATTGCCAACCCCGTTTACTACCCCTCCGTATTAACGTCAGTCTCCTGCTCTTGACCGCATTTGC